TCGATAAACGTCACAAAGTATCTATAATTTTCACGAGACTTGCAAGGAGCAGACCATACATCCGAATGAACCAACTCAAAACATGCATTATAAGTCGATTTTGAATGAGGAAATACATTACGACAGTGTTTGCCAAGAATGCACGCCTCACAACTCTTATGATCATAAGTAATATTCGGTAATAAAATTTTCAATGCTTGAACATGGGGGTGTCCTAATCTAGCATGCCAAATGGAGCTAAGGGCGGTGTCTTCAGCTTCAGGACTTGTATCTAACACATACAGTCCATTCGATGCTCTCCCTTTAGCTATGATCCTTCCGGTCTTAATATCCTGAAATTGCACACCGTTAGGACTGAAAATGGCTCTACAATCAAGATCTCTTGCTGCTTTATAAACTGACAGAAGGTTGTTAGTAAACTCGGGAACATATAGTGCATCAGTTTCTTTATCACACAGTTTTAATTTTCCGATTCCTCTAACGAATACATTCTGTCCATTAGCAACTGAAATGGAGCCATTAGCATGCGTTATATTGGACAGCAATTTCGGATTATAAATCATGTGGCTAGTTGCACCTGAATCTACAATGAGATCATTATGGGCAAAAGAGGTGAGAGCTACATTACCGAAGTCTTTGGATGCTATCATCTTCGAGATGTTGGAGGTGAGGCCCTGTAACATGGTTTCCATCTCAGATTTAGTGACAAAACCAGAGATGGAAGCGTTCAGGGCAGCATCATGGTTTGTCTTGCCACCCGCCTCCAAGATCTCGATGGAAGATTCACCTGCAAAACGAGCTTGATCCGAGACATATTGAGAGTTTGCAAACCTCTGGGGTTTAAGATGTGGATGAAGTGCCCAACACTTGTCCTTTGTGTGCCCCTTTCTTTTGCAGTAATCACAGAAGGGTGTTCTGCGGTCTCCTCCAGGTTTGAATCTCACAGCTTTCTGTGCAATTTCACCATGGTCTGCGAGATTTCCTCTTGCATTATGAGCTATCTCACTTGGACCAGAAAACAGAGTCTTGCCTCCTTCCTCCTTCTTAACTCGAGAACAGACCTCATTAAAGGAAGGCAATGTAGACTCTCTGAGGATGGTCTGAATAAGTTCTTTGTATGAACTATTCAGAGCAAATAGGAGGGCAAATGTCTTGTCTTGCTCGTGATTCTCCATTTCTTTTGCAACTGTTGATGGTTGTCGGAGTTCACGGAATTCCGACCAAAGGGCGGTGAATTCTCCAAGCAGGGCATTGAAAGATCTCTCCTCTTGTCGCAAAGAATAGATCCGACGTTTAACTTCATATATACGGCTGATGTTAGAGGTGTTACCGTATACATCTTTCAGAGTATCCCACAAAAGTTTGGCCGACTCGATGTGATTGAAAGAGGCCATGATTGTGGAATCAAACGAACTCTGAAGGACAGTTATCACCGTGTGATCTTCTTGCAACCATTTGGAGGCTTCAGCTGGAAGGGTTGTACCAGTAGTTTCTTCAACGTTTCTGCTGGTGGTAACATGTTCCCACCATCCCTTACTCTTGAGAAACATTTTTGCAGAACGAGACCAACTCAAATAGTTGTCTCCATTGAGCACAACAGGGATGACTCGAACAACAGAGGAATCCATAGTTGCGGGAATCGACAGAGAAACAAAGGCGCAGATCCTCTAGAACGGTTTCTGCTCTGATACCATGAAATCTTTAATAAATTTAAGGTATAGAAGAAGAATTGTCCTTACTCAGCTAGTATAATGCCGAGAAGGAGAGAGATGTAGAATAGAAAAGAATTCTGTAGTATATTCACATAATGGAAGTTTTACAAATAAATAGAAAAACTAGTCTAGGAATAAAAAGGAAACAACGATACTGTATAAAGAAGAATGGAAATAATGTGATATGGAGAGGAATTGGTACGCATGATTCTAGCAGAGAGGAGATATTCTCACTAGAGTCATGGTTTGGATTGTGCAATGACTTCGGTTGATTGTGTGTCACGTTCAAGGCTGTCCGAGGATTCCATATTCGTACTTTCGTCAATAGATCAGAAACTGTACCGGAAAGCCCACTCAAAAATATTTTAGACTTTGCACGATCTCCAAATTGTTCTAAAATGTGACGAATAACATCAATTGACTGCAGGTCTGTTTCAGAGAAGATCATTATGTCGTTTGCGAATACAAGGTGTGATTGGGGGTTCTTGGCACTTGGGATGCATATTAAATCTACCCAGTTTCGCTGATGAATCCAACATGTGAGACAAGGCCTCTATGGTTAAGATGAAGAGGTAAGGTGAGATGGGGTCACCTTGCCTTAACCCTCTTTCCCCTGCAAAGTAGCCCACGAGTTCACCATTTAGTGAGATGGAGAATTTAGGGCTAGTGATACATTTCCGAATCCAAGCAATGAATCTTGTTGGCAGCCCTATCGCATGTAGTAGGGTGATGATGAATTTCCAGTCCAAGGTGTCGAAGGCCTTGCGAATATCCATCTTCATCATTGCAGATGTACATGTTGATTTGTTGTAATCCCGGATCAGCTCTGTCGTCATCAACATGTTCTCTGCCATTAGCCGTCCCTTTAAGAATGTCGTCTGGTTGCGCGAGATCAACCCTTGGAGGACAGACCTGAGTCTTCTGGTGAGGATGGTAGGGATCAACTTATAGGGAAGGTTGCAACAACTAATAGATCTGAAATCAGACAAGGCAACAGTTTCAGTCTTCTGGTAAAGATGGTAGTAATCTAATAGTTGTTAGAATGAAATTTTAATCATTCAGACATTCGGATAATATGTTCAGATCTCAAAATTAAATAGATTTTGAATATAAGATAAATCAAATTATATATTATATAATCTTCTAAAATAATAAGAGCTAAGACTTTATTTCCATTTCTGTTTGTCTATGTTAGCCTTGTAGATTGTGATAATTAGTTTATAATATGGTTATTGAAATATATTTAGAATTCATATCTTATTTTTCGGCATTTTTAATATTAAAAAGCCGATGATAGATCAGATTAAACAGAAAAATATGTATTAAAAAATTCTTATACATATATTTTAAATTTAATGGCGACGAGCACGAATGAGAAAACGTATCTCGAAGAGAATGAGATAAGCATGGGAAAGCAAAGACTTTTTTCCCTCGAGGACAAGAGAAGTCTACTTTCCCAACACGTACGTGTTTGCATGCAATAATAATTGGCATACCAACAATTTCAATGTAATTAATATTTAATAGTACATTACATAAAATATTATCCCTAAAAAAGTTTGTAATGAGTGATCATGCTTTTATATTTTCGGATGCATTAAAATATCCAAAAGACCCCCCACCAAATTGTTGTTTCTTTTTTCGAATAATTGGTTCGTGGAATTCGGTCGCATTTTAGGTCATCGGAAAAGCATATGATAAAAGATAATATAAAATTGTTTGGTTTGTCTATTTCCAAAATTGGTGCTATCTAGCTAATATGAAAACTTCATCATACCTTATATTATTATAGTTTAACCCATTAATTCCGCACGGAGAAACCAATCAAATAGTTTCTACAGATATATAAATAAAAACTGGATCGAATAGTATGATATATATATTTATTTCTAAATCGAATCTAATATCAAATTAAATAGTTTAACAAAAAAAAATCAAATTAAATACATAAGCAGTGAATATTGTTACATAATATGTTCTGTCGGTGCAAATACTTTGTTACATAATATTCAACGATATATCACATACTGTTTAATAATATTCTTGCAATTAAACATAAGAATAGCTTTATTATTCAACCAACCAATCCAAAATATGATCTATTGTCTGTCATTCACGAGTTATATCAATTCAAATTGTAGTCGGAATCTTTTATCTAGTAGACTGTTGAACGAAGAAAAAAATGTTATTTGATGGTTGTGATTGTTGATTTCGACCATTGTATTAATTATAAATTCAATTCATTCCAAAATTGATACATTCTTTATATTACAATAATTTACGAAATTCGTTTAGTGTTAATGCAAGGGCTCTGAAATTCGTTGTAATTCACATAAATGTGAGATTATATATTTATATATATATATATATATATATATTTATATATATATAATTAAATATGAGATTTTAACAGTACACATGTTAATAACTTGAGTATATAACAGTATATATATATATATTATACATAATCACTTGTATATTGAAATATGAGATTATATTTTTCTTAAGCATACGAAACAACTATCAACTGTAAATTCACTTATTCTCCATGAACTACGTGTTTTTTTGTCATTATGAATCAATGATAAATTTTAATCCATTGCAAAACACATCATTTAAATTATACATATATTCTAAAAATTGTCGTTGTTAAAATCATTAATCTATAAATATAAAACATTGTTAACAATCTGTTATCGACAATAAAAGCCAACGATACTTATCTTGAAACTAATAATTCACTACTTTTTTTTTAGTAAAGCTTTTATAATTACACTTTTTTTTTATTTGTCTTTGTTATCTCAGTATTTCGTAATTGAATTATTGAAAAGGAAGGATAATGATTAATTCAAGAGCCAAAGGAATAAAGGGTGATAATAATTACCATCGAGAAAATATCATGACAATTTGGTTTTAACTTTTCCACCATTGAAATCATTACGTCTTTCATCTTTTCAATGATTTTTTTTATAGATATATCACATTTTTCATGCATGAAATTAAATATTTTTCAATTAAATTGATTATTTTGAGTAGATTTATCTTAGAAAGCGTCGTGCCAATTAAGGAGGAAAAACAAATGAAATCTATAAGTTATATGGGAACAATAATTAGCAGTTTGTAACTCTTAGTTGTAGGATTAAATTTTGAGAAAAAAATGTATATAACTTTAGACCTTTATCTTCTTTTTTTGGTCTGTGCCCCTTGTTTTATTACGCAAATTTGAACTCAATTTTATCCTCATTTTATTTTTTATTTGATTATATTACGTTAGAAATTACAATTAGGTAAAGCACACAAATCAAAATTATTTTATTTTTATTTTATACTAACAAACGAACAGTATTACACCACGAACCCGCTGTCTCGGTGGGCGACTTCAAAGTATCTCCAAATTTCAGTTATTCCCCCTCATGTTCTCAAACCTTCGTTTCGAACCCCAACAGTTTCACGTATTTACAAGTTAACCCATAAACTACATAATGGTGCATCCGTTGGGGTTCTCGTCGCTGAACATCCCCGGCGCGTGCATGTGAGCTTGAGAATACGGCGCGTAGCCCTCACTCGCGTACGAATACGGATACGGTCCGTGAATACTCTGACTCACCGTCTGATAATCCTGACCGTACACGTGTCCCCCATGCCAATACATCGGAACCGTCGGATACGCTTGCCCGTAATACTCCATCTTGTTCACCGTTCCGACAGACCTAACACCCTCTCCGCCGTCGTCTCCGCCGCCGCCGCCATTTTTCCCAACAGCTTGGTCGTCTTTAATCTTGTCTGAACATAAGTAATACAAGCAATGTTTTAGAATCCATTTTTTTTAACTGAAATAAAAACAATAGTTCATTTTTTAATATTGAAATTTAGATCTTCGGAGATTTCAGATAAGATTCTATCGCCGCCGGTACCTTCTTTCTTCTCTCCGCCGTCCTTTTTCCCGGCGGAGCTATCCCCTCCGACGGCACCGGAGTCTTTTTTGTCTCCGGCACTGGCGCTGGCGTCTTTCTTGACGCCGGCGTCATTCTTCTTCCCTGGGCCATCCCCGGATTCCTTCTTAGTTTCAGGTGCAGCGGCGGCGGCGGCGGCGACCGTAGGTGCTTCTTTGGCCTTTGAGGCGGCGGCTCCGTCCTCTTTTTTGGCGGGAAACACCGCTTCGACGTTTCTCTTGAGCTTCTGTTTGAGGAAGGGGACAAGTTCTTTGTCGTCCATTGTTCCTTTGATCGTAACCAAATCTTTTGGTCCGTCGATATTCACCGTTTCGACCCCTGTTAATTAGAAAATTAAATTATTACATTACAGTAACTATTATATGTCACGCTTTAACTAATTAAAACACCATCTTATTAGGTTTATAAAAAAACTACCCTTAATCTTCAATATTATTTTCTTGATCTTGTTAATACAGCCGTCGCAATGCAATCTGATTTTCAATACCACGGTAGCCTGTTAACAAAAAAAAAAGGAAAAAAAGTAAATTAGATTTTTAAGAAACTAATTAATCTCGCTTAGATGATTTGTATATTAATTGGTTAGCATAATTAGGAAGCGTCGGATAATTAGTTGACTAATTAATAAATTCAATGGTTTTATCCACACTTTAATTAAATCACACATTACCCTCACGTGGCTAACGTACGCCGTGATGTAACTGCTCTCCTTTAGCCAAAAAAATGCATTATAGTTATTTATTTACCTCCTTGGGAGGAGGAGCCGCCGCCGCCTTGTCTCCGCCGTCTTTTTTGTCTGATTTCTCTGCCGCCGTCTTTTCTTCGCCGGAGTTTGTCTTTGGCGGCGGCAGAGGGCTGAGGAGTTCGACTTTTCTCTTTGTTTTCTCTACCAATTTCTCCCGGACTTTCACCGGATCGATCTTTCCGACGACCGTCAGCTTGTTTCCGCCGCAATCTGCCGTCACATCTTTCACTCCGGCTGCCAAAAATTATTCATAACCATCACCATATATATATTCTTTGTCCATGTAATACACATAAAACCAGATTAATTCAATTGGTTTTTAATTTAAACTAATAAAAACCATGTAAACTTTATAATTACGTAAGCTCTCCTCGTAATTCTCGGTATAATAATATTTTTTATGGGAAATTTATTGTACCTTCGCATTGTTTTACTATACGTTTGATCTTCTTGGCACATCCAACGCAGTGCATATCAATCTTGAAAACGAAAGTGGTGGCCGCCGGAGCCGCCACAGAA